GGGGGGGGGGGGGGGGGGGGGGGGGGGGGGGGGGGGGGGGGGGTTAAACAGTTAGGAACGTGACACTCCTGGCCAATCACCACAACGTTTTAAATCTTAAAGCTTCTTGTAACACCATCGTCGTGCAACTGATAGGTCTCAATAAGATTCATAAGATCAATCTTTGAAAACAGATTTATTTTGACCCCATAAATAGAGACAACGGGGTACTTTGTGTGTGTGTATGTGTGTGTGTATGTATGTGTGTGTGTGTGTCCATCCGTGTCCGTGTCCGCGCGTGAGATTTGTGTCCCGACACAACTGCAGGATTGTTGAAACAAAATGATGGGGTTCGTCTCATCTCTTGCCCGTTCGGGGAAAGAGGGGGGGGGGGGTTATCTTGTTGCGTCGGTAGCTTTGAGGCGACCACACAAAAACAACAACAGACCACGCATCGATTCTGTATGCGTAACTCCAACATCACAAAGAGGGCGCAAGTCAGTTATGGCCCCCTTGATCTGAGCAACATGATGAGAGCTTTCAAACTACAAGAGGTAAAAAGGGAGGGAATAAGATCGCATACAAAAGATGTTTTGAGCTACCTCGGGGTTGTCCTCAAACAGAATATCATCATCAATCCCTGCACTTCAAAATATATTTTTATTGACCATTCCCCATTGAGTTTCCTTTTTACAGATTTTGAGACAGGTGAGGCGGCCAGGTCTCGTCCTACTGAATAGTTTTGGTGTGTGTGTGGGGGCGCGTGTATGTGTGTGTGTTTTGATAGATCTTTACATTGATTGCCGTGATGATTGCTTGCATGATGTATCATGGACGGTGTTCAACACAGCTGCTCTAATGAAACGGCTGAAGAAAAAGTACATAATTTACTAAATGAAGACTACAGGGGAAAAACCACAGTTGTCCAATTTTACACATTTTCGCGTTTGCGTCCCTTTCATCGAGTACTGGTGCTTAACTATGACCTCTGAAAATATACAAGCGAAAACCCACCGTAGTCACCCGTTATTGAGGTATTTAAAAATAGGCTACAATGGAATAACAACCGATGTCCAATGTTTACAAAGGAAAAGTCACAGCTGTCCAAGTTATTTTGGTACAAACCAATGAGAATCTAGAGAAAAGTCACGTGACCGGCTAGCAACATTGCAAACAACAAACATGGCGGATGTTGTAGATAAACCGATCGTCACAGATAAGCCGAAGAAAAAACAAGTTACTGGACGAAAAAGAGAGTTTTCTCGAGATGAGAAGTTAAGAAATCATGTTACAGGGCCACCTTGTAACTGTAAGGTGCTAAAATGCTTCCAGATTACTACCGAAGATGACAGGTCAAAGATGATTTCCCATTTCAATTCGTTGAAAACAAAAGATGAGCAGGATGCATTCCTTGCCTCGCTCATTTCAGTTCATTCAGTTCAGCGTCGCCGTAGCAGAAAGGAAGAGCCAACAGAGGCAGAATTTCACAACCATTCTT